TCTGTCTCTCTCTATCTTTCTGGCGAGCGCACATGCCCAATAGCAAAAACTTCTCAAAAAAAAAAATAAAAAAGAAAAGAAAAGACTACTTGACTACTTGATGGTATTCAACTTGATTGGTAAAGTGAATAATTTTTTTTTAAATATCAAATGTGGCTTTGTCCAAAGCAATGACACACATACTGGTAATAACCAGGTTTGGTCAGGCAAGCTGTGATGAAATTTTAATTCTCCAATACTATTAGTGGAAGTATAAGTCATGGGACCAGCAAATAGTACAATGGTTATATCGCTGAACTCCCATAATTGGCATGGTTCAAGTCCCAGACCCAGCAACTTCAACCTCACACCAGGCACATGGTGCATGCATGCCCAAGATCTTGAGAGGAGAATGGAGGAGAAGGGATTGAGGTCTGCCCATCCCTCCTGGGGGTTGATTCCTCACTTTCTGTCTGTCTCTCCAGCCAGTGCTCATGCCCTATAGCAAAAATCTCTCTATAAAGAGAAAGATTGGGACCAGCAGATGGCCTGGTGGTTAAGGTGCTGGACACTCCCACATGGCCAGCCATGGTTTGAGTCCTGAACCTGGAGACTTGCTTTCTTACTTTCTCTCTCTCCCTCACTCTCTGTGTCTTTCTCTGGTCAAATTAAAATGAATTTTAATGAACTCATAATAAAATGAATAAATCAAATTAAATAAATAATTCTTAAAAGAAAGGAAAATGTAAGTCAGCACAGTTCTTTGGGAAAGCAATATGACAGTACTTATGAAAATGTTAAATGTACATACCATTCAAAATAGCATTCTGCTTCTCTATAATACTTCTAAAACATTATATACATGTTCACAAAGAGTCTTATACATTCTAATTAATATAAAAATAATTTGGAAAGCATTTAAATGTTCATCAAAAGGAAGAAAATTTAAATAAATGTTGACTCTTCCATACAGTATATATGATCATGAAAAAAATGTGGTTGGACCAATGTATTCTGTCATAAAGCCATATTATAAAGCAAAAAAGTACATATCACTGAACAACACACGCAATGTGATTATGTAAACATTCTGCAAAACATTTTTAAAAAATTTTTTTGTTTGTTTTTTGGTCTTATTTTGTTTATTTTGTTTTGCAATAGGGCATATGCACTTGCTAGGGAGAGAGAGAGAGAGGGAAGGTGAGAAATCTTCCCCAGGAAAAATGGCCATGACACAGTTCCTTCTCCTCCATTCTCCTCTCAGGATTTTGGGCATGCATGTGTACATGCCTGGTGTGTTTCTCAGTCTGCTGGGACCTGGACTTTAACCATGGGGTTGGTCTGAAAACTAGATTATGTTATACACACATACAAATACGTAGGAAAAGGTAGAAAAATATTATACTAAGCACAGTGGTTAGCTGTAGTGAGTTAGTTCTAGTTAGGAATTCAGAAAGCTGGAGAATTTTAGGAAGAGGAAGATGGTGGGACATGAAATATAATTTTAACTTATGCTCTATTTACCTTAGCAGTATTTCTTTTTTTTTTTTTAAATTTATTTCTTTTAGAGATTTTTGCTATAGGGTGCGTGTGCTCGCCAGACAGACAGAGACAGAGAGGTCAAAGCCAGAAATCACCCCCCCAGGGGGGATGGCCATGCCACAATCCCTTCTCCTCCATTCTCCTCTCGGGATCTTGGGCACGCACGCACACGCGCCCGGCGTGAGTTTTAAGCCACCAGGTCCGGGACGTGAACTGTGGCCGACTACATGGGAGTCCAGCGACATAACCATTACGCTAACTGCTGGTCCAACCTTAGCAGTATTTTTATAACAATAGCCTTCATTATTATATATAGTTTTTCCCACCTCAAACTTATGCCACTTTTACAACAAATTCCTTAAATAAAAAAATAAGTAAAATGGTTTTTAAAGGCAGAAAGAAAAGACCATAATTTCCTCTATAAATACAACTGCATTATCATTACAGTAAGCAAACCTAAAAATAGAAAAAGGAGAAAAATGAATATATCAACTAGTGCTAACCACAAGGACAGAAAATATGAGTCATTGTATTAAAGCCTTACCAAGTAGAATTCAAAGGGGAAATATTAAAGATACAGATTTATAGCAATGGAAGTTAAAATCCCTTAACATTTTCTAGTATGACCCAATTTAGTAAAAAAAGCAAAAGATAGAATTGTACTATATAAGCAAAAACTTTTAGAAAAATATTTTAATACAAAGTATCATCTAGTACCTCTTGATTTTATTCAACTCCCTATGAAACTTTTACCATAATTTACTAGACATAATTTGCTAAAATTTATTAGACACTAGAATATCTTAATAAATTAAATAAGTGTATATAGGACACAGGGTCTGTTAGTAATACTACTTCTAAAACTAGAGGTTGTAATAAAGGAATATCTCAAGATGTACAACTAATATTTGGACATTAAAAAGTATTAAGCCTACATTAGCATGGAAATTAAAATTACACCTTATGATTAAGTTTATTCACTGTTTAATTATTAAGTATTACACATTAAATGCCTAGCAGGTAACAGAATGATTGATTTTACAGAGATAAACCAGAAAATTAGTCTCCATTGAAATCTAGCTTGTTTGTCAGAGGTCAGAAATAAGCAACAGTGAAAGCTAATCAATAAATAATTAAAATAACTTTAGATAGTTATGCATTCAATAATGTCATCAAAACAGGGAGAGGAAGTAGAATGTAAATAGCAGATGGATCAGTATTGGGTGTTTTTGTAAGAAAGGTCTCTTTTTTTGGGGGGAAGGGGTTTGCCAGAAAGCCCATGAGCTTACAGGAGAGAGACAGAGCAAAAGTGAGAAATGACCCCTCTTTCTCCCAGGGAGGATAGACATACCAAAATCCCTTCCCCATTCTTTTGGGATTTGGGGCATGCATGCACCCAGCATGATTTTCCAGTCTCCAGATCTGGGACTCAAACTGCTATCAGGTATGTGGGGGTCTAGTGCCTTTCCACCACACCACCTGCTGGCCCCAGGAAAGGGCTCTTTATGCAACTTAGATAAATTTTAAACAATTGAAGAGCCAGACAGACATCCTGAGAAAAAGGCAATCCAGGCAGAGAAGGGCATCAAAATTTGAGCATAAAAAGAAATTTGACCTTTTTCAAAGTCAATGTTTCTAAACAAAATTTTTGGGTAAATGACAGGGTGAGTGGTATTAGGATTAGGAAGTCAGGCAGGAATAATATCACATAGGTGGGGAAAAGAAGATTGGATATTATTCGAAG